AATAAAATGTCAAACTGTAAAAGAATGTAAGGAAGCAAAGAGAAAAACATCAACAGGATCAAATTTATTCACATTAGAAAATGCAAGAGGGAAGTGTTAGCGTTGTAAACACTGACAAGTGGCCCAAGTGAGCTCTTCTACATGCGATTCCTTGTTCCCGGGATTTGGGTCTGAAGCGGGCAACAGATGCCCAGAGACCAGCTCACAGGGCACAGGTGTCAGGCTACCGCAGCCCCCTCAGCTGTGGCTCTGCTGCAGCGGGGGCACCTTCGTGCTCATTTTGCCAGCTTGCTCCCTATCCTGAACACGCCTCACAGGAGATCCCATCCCCAGAACTAAGGACAATGGAGAAAGGAAGAATCAAAGTTGTGTGGTGGACACTGATTTCAGGGACAGAAGCAAGATTGTGTTTGGCAACCTCTTCCTGCAGTGTCTTCAAAGCCAATGACTGATAGACAGTTTGCAGTACACTTCAGGATTTAAGGAAAAGTGTTCATGAATATAAAGAAGTTTTGTCTTTAAGTTCTCTGAGTTTGATTAACCTTATTTAAACAAATTTCAGTGCATCATCAATGAGACTCTCAATAGAAAGTCTCTGTACAAAAAGAAATTCTCCAGTACTGGGCATTAAACTCAGGACCTTGTGCTTGCCAGGCAGGCACTTAAGCTGCTGAGCTATGTCCCTGGTTAACAATGTATGGTGTGCCTAAGGAGAGTCACCTAGAGAGAAAAACTTCTCTCAGGCTTTCACAGAGAACAAATTGGTCAAACAACGGCCATGACTCATCAGGATGTCTGACACTGACAAAAGATCTACAAGATGCTATACATGGTTTCAGGATAAATCCTGATATTTGACTGACCTTACCAGACAGCAAAGGTTACATTTTTAGTAATATAGATCTTGCTTTAACTTGGTCTTAACCATCCAGTAGAAAAGTATAATCATGAGGTATAATAAGTAAAGCTATATTAATATGCTGAGCAGTACAAGGCTCAATTCAACAACTTCAGACAATTGCCAGTTGTGCTGGTAACTCACTACTATTATGGACTATATTGGGTTATTTTGCTGAGTTCAAGTACCTACAATATTTGGACTGGAATCAAGTATGAAAAGGTCATTTAAAGAATTCTCCAGGGGCTGGGGAGATGGCTCAGTAGAATAAGTGCTTGCCTGGCAAGCCCAAAAACCAGAGTTCAATCCCCAGTTCTGCCAATAAGATAAGATAAAGAAAGAAAGAAAGAATTCTCCAAATACAGCTTCTCTAACAGCAATGGAACACCCGTCTCTGACAAAACAAAACAAAAAAAGGGGATATAAATAAAGTACAGTTTTGTAGTAAAAAATATACGTATATATAAGATAATAGGATAGATATACAGATACTTTCTCTTAGTTCAATAAGAAGAAAGGTTTGTACTAATAGTGTTTAGAAAAGATATCATGTTTGCATCTCATCCTTTGAATAACTACTAGGAAGACTACGATATGCAATGCATTATTGTACTGTCCTACTAACCTGTTTTTGAAACTGTTTCATTACTATTTTATCCTTTTCTCTCATTAAAATTAATAAAAATAAATAAACAAGAAATGCTTTATTTAATTTCTCTATATTGAAGCCAGAAATTATATAGGAGAAGTCATCTGGCCATATGGACTCAGTTAGGGAGTCACTACATCTCAGAAAACATTTTAGGGTCCAAAGCAGAAGCCAGCTTTCCCTCACTGCCATCGTCATCTGCATAACAAACTCAATTAACAAATACCAACACGGCAGCAAAGCCGCTCAGCACTGCTCAGGACCTGGGAGATGAACACTTTCATGCTCGTAATTCTTGGTATCACAATGATGTCCTATATGTCAATGAAAAAATAGCCCGACAGGCTGTTACTGTTCGATGATGTGTGCCATTATGCTAGCTTCCCTCACTGGTACAGAAACAACAAACCCCGCAGCCCTGTGCACTTTCGAGCCCTCTCTCTTTCTTTAAATAAGAGAACGACTGACTGAGCTGTGTCGTTCTCTGAGACCAGCGTGACGCAGCCCTAATGCGACAGCAGCTCCCTGCGCACACTGCACAGAGAAGGATGGCGGGGCCTGTGGCACCTCAGCGTCCTGAGGCTGAGCCATGAACAGCTCATGAATGCAGCCACAGTGCAGGCAAGGGCCTGACACACAAGCAGGAGAACGGGTGCACCAAGGACCCTGGGCCGCCGGAGCAGACCTCAGCACACCTCGCTACCTGAGTTCATCATCTCCCCCAGATTATCTGAGGTTCAGTTTGACAACATGTAAGTGCTAAGCAGAAGTCACTGCGGTGGTGGATTAGTTCTGTTCTGTTTCCATAACAAAGTCTCAGTAATCTGGGAAGCAGAGACTAGGGGACTGCAAGTTAAAGCCCAGGCTGGGTAACTCGGGAGACGTGGTGAGACCCTGTCTCACGATACAAAATAATTTTAAAGAGCCTGTGGTCATAGCTCCATGTGAGCTCCTGGATTCAAACCTTAGTACCACAGGAAGAAAGACAGAAAGATGCCAGAAAGACAAGACAGAAAGACAGTTCCCAGAAACTGAGGGCTTTAATTTTAGAAAGGAGACTTAAGGCCTGAGTTTTGCAGGGCATCACCATCTGTTTGGTGTCTGGGCAGTGCCTCCTCAGCTGGGCCACAACGTGCGGAAGCAAGAAAGGCACTGGCCCCAGGCAGAGGGAACCCACTGCAAGGGACAGCTTCGATTTCTAAAAACCACTGGAGCTTCCCAGGGTCCCACGAGAACGTTCATCCCTACAAAGAGAAGCCACCAGTGAATTACACACTTCTGTCAGGTACGTCAGTCCCAGCTCTCAAAGGTCCCTGCAGCCCTCAGTTGGCCACGCTGGGCCCTGGGCTTCCAGGAATGCACACTTGGGAAACACTCAAACCCTAGCCCCAGACTAGCAAATGGACATTGTGTGATGATATTCAGAGAGATGAGGCGCAAAACACCGCTTTGAGAATCTGCGGCAAAGAAATGAATGAGTTGGCCTAAGCTCCCCTTCAGCTTTCTGGTATCGCAGAAAACACAACCTCTATGACTTCAGGGGAAGCCTGTCAGTTCTACCAGAACCACAGCCCCTACGAGGTCCGTGCTCTGCACAGCAGTGGGACAGCTTTGCTGGCTGGCATTGTCTTCACCTACTAGAGATTTGGGCACAGTGCCTATGACATCCTGGCGTCTTGTTGATTGATGCACGTTTTTCTATGACTGACTGAGTTACAACATTCTCAAACTTGCCCCATTCAAATATATGTTAGTTATTCCCAAAGGGGGAGGGTTAGAATTCAAGTTAGGTACCAGTTACAGGGGTTTGAGACCTAAGTTAACCAGCTATGCTGATATGAGTCATCGTGATAGAGTGCCTTCTGTCGTAGAAATAACAGTAAATGAATGAAAATTAATAAGCCCCAAGTCTTGACCTATAAATGGAAGACCATAAAAAAAATAAAAAAAACTAGCTTACATACAATAGATATATAATCATTGTATAGTCTATTTTTAAACTTAGGACATTGAAGATCTTTGCTAGCTTGCCTTAGAGCATTTGAACAGAAAATTCAGAATTTTCATAAGAGGTAGATCTGCTTCTTCACACGGAATTAACACAACTGACTTGAATGTAGATATTTCAGTTACAAACTGAGCAAGATGGATGAAGCCGTGTTCATAAAAATAAAAAATCATTTTGCTTAAAATTGATAATAATATAAATTTAGCTATATTTTGCTTCCCCCAATGCACAGCAAGTTCCTATAAAATTAACATTTCTTCACAGAATTGTTGTTGGTTTTTCTTGTTCTACATTTATTCACCAAGGTTTTTTTTTTTCATTTTAATGAAAAAATAATAGAATAAAATAGTAATAGGGCAAATGATAGTTAATATATTACATGTTGCTGTCTTTAAAGTAGGTGCCCATGGTATAAGACAGAGGCATAAAAGTTGATCCAGTCCGTAGTTAGGTAAACCTTTCTTTGTAATGATACAAGGGACACCAGCAGAGTTCTTTTCCCCACTGTCCTTTCCCTCTCGCCCATCCTAATTCCCTTTCCCTTTGGAACGATTTCCTCCCATTTCACACTATCCGCTGTACATTTTAGAACATGTACTCTTTCAGTTTCTCGTACCAGGAAGACAATGCCACGCTTACACACGAGCCTGATTTATTTCACCCATTCGTACGAGCTCAAGCTGCTTGTGTGTACCTATGGAAGGCTTAAGTTTATCCTGCTTCATGGCTGAGCAGCGCTCCACTGTATAAGAATGTCACATCTTTTTATCCACTGCTCAGTTGGTGGGGCACTTGAGTTGTTTCCAAATTTAGCTATTGTAAATTATACTGCTCCAAACATGAGTGCACAAATCATTGTGGTATGATGTTTATAATTATTCTTGGAAAATAGCTTTTTGAGGAATCTCCACACTGATTTCCACAGTGTTGGGACCAGTCTACATGCCCACCAATAGTGGACAAGGGTTACTTTTTCCCCACAGCCCCTCCAGCATTTGTTATTGGTTGACTACTTGAATACAGCCATTCTTTCTGGGATGAGATGAAATTTTGGTGTTGTTTTAATTTGCATTTCTCAAATGACTAGTAATATTGAACATTTTAAAAAATATTTATTTGCTATTTGCATTTCTTCATCTGATAAGTATATATTCATCTGAAATACTCATTTTTGGATTGGATCTTTGAATTTTTGGGAGGTGGTAATCCTATCTAGAACATATTTCTGATTTCTCTAAAGAGTTAGGAATCAGAAAATACATAGATATGCCTATGGATAGGGATAAGCAAAGTTCAGAGACAGAGACAAAATCAAAAGAAACTGAACAGAGATCAAGACAAAAATTAAATTACTTTCTCACAAAATTTTGCATAAGCATTAAGGGGGAAATTTACACAATTAAACTTTAAGAAAACATCAGAAACCACACAATGGAGTCTCTTACCCTGAAAAACTCTTTAGTGGATCCAGAGTCTAACGTTCCGTAAGCAATTTCCGTTTGCTTAGAGAGATCCTCCGCACTCTCGATGGGAGACACCATCCTCTCTACAGTCAGGAAGGCAGCTAGGTTAGCCGTGTAGGAGGAGATTATGATCAGCGTAAAGAACCACCACACACCTCCAACAATGCGCCCAGAGAGGGATCTAATAACAAGCACGAAATCGATTTGTGAAGTAAAATGATTGAACAATAAAAACAAGTTAGCAGCAATATGCAAACATTGACTCACAGGGAAAGATTTCATTCATACTTTTCCATATGTCTAACAGCTCATAAAGTAAAAAAAATATTCATTCAACATTTGGAGCAAGGAGTAAGGCTGACTAGAATTGATGACACACAGAGGACGAACTTCAGATTTCTGGGATTCATGCTATAGGTGCTCAAGGAGTTTATGGAAGAAAACATCACGATAAGGAAATCTGAGGAAATGAATAGCTAATTCATTTAATACTCACACTACTTTATCTGCTAAGAACTTAAGTAAGAAGACACGAGATAATAAAAGATCAGCAGCGAAACTCATAGCAAAGTATACAAACACAATCAAATATTAAAAAAGAAAGAACATTCTCTACAGAGGCAGCACTGAAATCCGAGGGAGCCTGGCCCACACACAGACAGAAGGGTCTAAGTGGTCAACAGGCCAAAGAGCTCTCTAGGATTTCATGTGCGTGCAAAAATACATCTATTTAATACAATGTAGGAGGGGAAGTGGAAAAATGGAACTGCATGCAAAGGTGTGACAGTAAATGCAATTCTTGATGAGTAAGAGTCAGGCACACTGCTTTGGCCCTGTACTTCCTGCCTCCTGCTGAAGACAGGAGAAAGTTCAAATGAAAAATAAATTGGACATCAGTCAAGGTGCAAATTCCCAGAAAAAATATATGAAAACAACAATATTTCTGTGGTTACGAGTTCTTATATACAATGCTTTCAAAAGCTTATAGTCTCAATAATCTATTTAAAATTGTGTATATTCAAAATAGGACAAATATACAGCTACTTTCTCTTAAGTCAGTGAATAGAAAGACTTGTTCTAATAGTGTTTGTGGACAGGATATCATGTCTGCATCTTGTACTATGAATAACCACTAAGGAGGCAAAAATATGCAATGTATTAATTATTGAAACAGTCCTACTAATCGGTTTTGAAACTGTCTCATTTGGTATTTGTTTCTCAATAAAATTATTTTAGAAAGTAGGATTTGATGCACCACTTGAAAAATAAATAAATAAATAATATTTGGAGTACAGCTATTTAATGCAGAGAAGTATCTACTACATTGTTGTAAGAGATTTTATTGTTTTCTTCATGTAATTAATGCATTGGAGTACCAGTAACCGACTGTCTTGTCTTTAATAAAACTGCTATGTCTACATTTAGACGTGCTAGAGTAAAAGTATAACGTTTCTAAAAATTTAAATCACAGAGGTTTGGCAGCGTATGGGCTAATCTAATGTCCTTGAAAATTAGCATTAAGAGATACGCCTTGTAATAAACAGGTGCTACAGTGAAAGTGTGAGCAATGAACTTCAAGACACAAAAAAGAGAAAAGCAAACCAATTTAAAATGAAAGATGTTCTAAGGTAAAATCATCTGCCACTTAAAACAAGAGACACAGCCACAAGGAGCAAAATGTAATTAAGAGCCTTCATCTCCAAGTCTTCGGCCGAAGGGAAGAGACAAATGCGCTAGCGTGGGAAAGGTGAAGTACTTCTTCCTTCTATGCTGAAAAGAGCGTTAAATACACTGTACATGGGCAAGATGCCCTCTGCGGCCTCCCGCACTCTCGCGACACTCCCTGTCTACTCCTCCTCCTCCTCCTCCACAGCAAGCGGTATGATGGCACGACATGTACCCGCATGTCAGAGGACAGATCCGGTACCCGCAAGCGCAAAGCCCTTGAAGCAAAACCTGAGGACCATTTAACCGTTTTTGGTCCTGTACACTGAAGGGTAACTTAAAATAAATCCAAAACTCATATTTACAGTTGTTCTGTTCCACTTGTAAAAGTAAAAACAAAGTAGGATCAACTGTCTTCAACTCCAGAGTTAAAGCCAGGTGGATTAAATATTTCAACTCACTTAAAGGTAACTCAGACATTTATTAAACTTAAAATGTTTCACTCAAAAGTGAAAAATGCTCAATCAGTTCATTATTTACTTTTCCATGTTTTAAAGCATTGACGTTTCTCAAAGAGTTCTTGAGAAATATTATGCAGATGGGAAAATTCAGTGTAACTGATGGTGATGAACAAAAATGGTCTCTCTAGTAAAAATGAAAAATATTTACTTCTATGCATCAAAGGAAGCAAATACATAATGCTGTCTTATCTTTCTTTTTTTAACCTTTAATAAACATTTTAAATGCTGTCTTTTGTATGTATTTAAATCTTTAAGCAATTTGGAGAGATTGAGGCAAGCGCCAGAATAAATACAATTTATTGCTTACTTCTCACGGCTTCTGTGGTTCTAGATTATTTTTTATAAAACTATAACTGACAGTGAAGATCTTCTCAAATTAATTTCAGGAAAATGACCAAGTCAGCATGTCCAATAAGTTATTTTAGACTTAAACATATGTCATTAACATTAGTAATACAGTCTCATGTCATTTATCAAAAGGATGAGATATACTTTTAAAATATTTAAAGAGTATTTCTCAAGTGATCAGTATATGTCACTTTTTTAAATAAAAAACTAACTCTTCTGATATAGAGCAAGCATCATTATATTCTAAAACATAATTCTTAGTTTGTTTTTTAAAATCCTAAAGTGTGCCAGAAATAGGCAGTAAGTTCAATTTTTTAATGCATGTAGAACATAAAGAGAAAGATAAGCACATTTGAAACTTTTTAAATGAAAGAATGTCATATATCTGTATCCAGAAACAAAAATGTAAACTAGCCAACTGTGCTAGGTTCTACCTCTATATCTTATTAAGAAATAAAAGTTATACAGGAAAAACTGTAAGGAGGCATGACTCATGAATGAAAGCAAATCCAAAGACCCCATAGCAGGTTTGAGGAAACTAAGGCTGTGCCCCTTAGCCCCAGCGGGCCCTGGGATATTACTGAATTTATCTGTGCTCCAGGTTCCCACTCGGTGAACACTGGGAACCCGATTAGCCCAGGCAGTAGCGGGAAGCACGGCGTGGGGGCGATGGAAGACAAAAAGGTCCTGCGTGGGAGTGCAGGCGATTTCCGCTGCTGCCTCGCAAGGCTATGCACTCCCTCCTGCCCAAAGAGCACAGTTGAGTCTCTCAACCCGACCACACACATCAGAGACCTTGGTGGCATAAGCAAACCTTTCCTCAGGATTTCCTGACCAGCATGTCCTCTGAGATCTCACTTTCATTGGCTTCTCCCTTTTGTTGCTAGAACTTCTCTTTGTTCATTTAACTTCAGCAAACTAAATAAAGAAATATAACTAAAATGTCTGTATTTTGTTAGAAATAATGTATATGTACATGTGTATAATCCCTCACACATACGCATGTTCCCTACCACGCACATGTCCCTGGTACAGCATATTTTTCTTTCAATGCAGTCCTGCAGAGAAGCCACAAAAAACACAATGGAACTAAGATTTTTTTAAAGATCTGCATTACTAATACAAGTTTGATTGTAAAAGCTCTCTGCTATTATACTTAACTACTATTAGAGAAGTGTGCTGTTGAAAATTTCTGCCTACATACTGAACTCAAGATTGTGAAATATATAAATAATTTAGCTTCTCATATTTTTTGAAATTGCTAATCCATATTTTTAAAAAGTGTTCAAAACTAAGAATTTATGGAACTAACTCCTAAAGGCATCCTCTCCCCTAGATAACACTAAGAATTTAAAAATTACAGTCCAGCCCCAGCTGAAATGTGTCAGTAACTACTACATGTCTGATAACCATTTTGACTTTAAATGTCAGTTATTACACTGGAAAAAGTATGATTGAGTTCTCCGAAGAGCCTATGGTTATATTCTCATTCCTTTATATATGATACTTAATAAGCATTCTGGTACAGGCATCATCACATTCTGAGAATAAATGTATGCAAATGTATTCCCTGACGTGTGTTCAGTACCAGTCTAATAAAGCTTTCAGTGATGAAGCTTAAACCTGTTCTTTATATTTCCAGATCCTGGGAAAATATGTTAGCCTTTTAACCCAGAATTCTAACCTTGCAAAAAGATACCCAATGCCTCCCCTGCCCCATTTCCATGAGCGAATGTTAGGAAAACAGAGGAGATGAGATGCATGTCAACGGAGCTCTGTTGAACAGTTGTGGATGGTGTACTTAGAAGTAGCATTGCCCATTTTCCCATATACAGGTCTGTGGATCAAGCCACAGCTGCCTGTACAATGAGAATATGCAGCAAAAACACGGTACCCCTCCAAGAAGGCATGGAATGATAGGAGCCTTATGCATTTTACAGCCTCTCCATGGTGTATATAATTTCACCAGGGAAATACATGACCAATGTTCGAAGAACATTGCTCAACTATTTCACAGGCTTACGCCGAATACACGTGTGTCCTTTAAGAGCCTTGGGCTGGTTGGACAAGCGGTCGGCAGCTGGTAATGTCTTTGGGGTGAATTCATACACACCATGAACATCCACTCGAGACCTAAAATGCACAAAGTCAGAGCAGGTGAGTAACCAACCTTGGCGAAATATCGCATCCTTGCTGCATAAAGGCACCCAAGGAAAACCAGAGACTATTAAAAATCCCAAATTCATTGGTTGATTCACTACTTTGCGTCTCTCTTCCATCTTCAAACTCCTCAGTGTGCCACTCGTAGGGGCTAAATCTGCTGACCAGGAATAAAACTACACTGACCCCAATGTAGGCAAAAACAATGCACATCCAGATCTCATAGGCTAAAGGATCAAGAAACGAAAACACTCCTGGCTTGGATTTCTGGGGCTTCTTGATCATGATGGATATCCCGAGGCTCATGAAGGGCTTGGAGAAGTCAATCACCTCCTCTCGCACGAGGGTGATAGTTAGCGGAGCAATGGCAATGTCGGCTTTCTGTAAGGGAAACAGCAGACAGTCACAATCCCAGGAGGCAGGGCAGAGTGGAGTCATGGTTACATCATGGGATGCAAGGGGGAGGGAAGGAAATCAGAGATGGGCCCATATTGCTCCCCTAATAGAGGCCCAGCAAATGATAAGCAATAAAACATTATTTTCCTAAATGTCTTCACTTTCAACAAACAAACAGCATACCCACCTGTCCTAAATCTAATTACACATCTACATTACATCTCTGCCTTGCCACCTTCGACATAGACATTCCACACACTTTCAAGGCAAATGGTACCCCTTGCTCAGCTATCAGCATGTCAACTTCGGGATTCCAAAGGCCCACAAGATCATAAAGACAGAGATTCTAGAGGACTGTGACTCATGGAAAATCCCAGGGATGGATACTCTGAAGGAAAGGGTGACCATTATGTGTACAACAGTTCAAACTGGAAGACTTCAGCTGTGAGGAGAGCTATACTTACCCCATATACAAGTTCTCCAACCATCCCATTCCAAATTTTCGTGTCTGCATCCCTGGCCCCATACTTGCCATCCCCAACAATGGTCAACTTGTACTTGAACCCACAGTGTTTAGCGATTTCTGCTGCCAGGTCTACACAGTAACCCTCATAGCGCTCATTGCCTTCGAGCATTTCGTGGTTTTTCTTCATCATAACATATGGAGATTCCTGTATGGAAACACATGCCTTCAGCAGATCACAGCAGCCCAAACACACACTCTCACTGAACTCAACTTCTGGGTTCAAGAGTGGCCTCTGGGCCAAATGCCAGGCATAAAAGACACGGTGGTCAACACTACAAGGAACAAAGTAAGCATGATACCTCTACAATGAAGATCCTCCCACGTCTGGCTCTATAGTTCATTGAACAGCTTGGACCTAGTCATTTCGAAATAAGCACGATACGCAGAAATTCCATCCCATGAATGCATCTGTTCAGTGTGTTTGCAATTCCTAGCACATTGGAAGAACGCTGCCCTGCATCTAATTACATTGCTCTAGAACTTTCGTCCCCTCAGTCGAGGTTAACACACTAACCCAGTGACCAGCACACCCCCAGCCCTGCCTGCTGCAACCAAGAAGAGCTCCATGTGGAATCGGGCTCACAGCCGGTGATACCCAGAGCCGGAAGATGCTCACCATGGAGATGACCTCTCTCACTGACCTACGGTCTCTCTTGTTCTGAGAAATGAGTGATATTCTAGAGGATGCCACAGGGACAGCTGCAGAGAGGCTCTTTGTTCAAACACAGACAGAGGAAGCATGAAGAAAAGAACTCAGGCCAGCTGAAAATTTGCCACAAGGAAGTGACACCAACTTTCTCTGAAGTTTCCATGAGCTGTACCCATGCAAGGACACCAATAACACGATGAGGGAAACACTTCTCTCAAGGGTCTAGCTTGCACCTACCGAGAAATTTCCCAGGACCTAGGACCAATGTTAGTAACCCAATATCTTGATAACCCATCTATATTTGTATGTGTTATTAAATAATGAATTGTGCAAAGCTATTGCCCCACTGCTAAAGTAAAACAAAACACAATAGTTTTGTCTTGTCCAAATATCATGTTCATAATGGACTCTGCTGTCTCCATTTCACCACCGTCACACCTTACAGGTGCGACCAACATTGCTTTTCAACCAATGAAGACTTTAGATATTAATATGCAGATTAATTTGGCTTCATGCATCTAAAACGCATTTGCTTTATGCTGGGAATCTGTGCAAACCAAGAATAAGAAGAAGGAAGATCAACCTTTTCTCCAAGGAGCACATTGCTTTGATGAAAGAGCGGCTGACAATATCACTAAGCTTTCTAACAAATGTAAGCACAGAGTTCATCTGGAGTTGGATGGGAGCAGATGGAGAAGGACGTGGGGAAGCCTGAGGAACATTCTTTACAACTTTTCTCAGTTGTTCCCCTGTGTATGCAGCAGGGTCTGGATTATCTGCCACACTGGATTACTGTCTGCAAGAACACCTGGAATACTGTCATGAGTGCTTCCAGAATTCTTTCAGCACACATGCCACAAATGGTCATAACACCAGAAAATGATTGAGGTTTTCATTCTTATCATAAAACAGAAACAGTAACTGCCCTTGGAGAAGCCTTCCTGAGGCGAGAAGCAAGCCAACAAAAGCAAACGGGACTAATTACCAGAATGGTGGTGACAACGACAGTCTTGTTCTCCAGCCCAGAGGTATCATTTCCTGAAGGCAGCTCAGTCAGGGTGACGACCATCTTGTCCACCTCGCTCCAGTACCCAATCTGAAAGAGGCCACAGCACGCGCCACCGCATCACAGAGCCCTCACCAGGGACGGCTCGCTTAGCTCCTCTCAAAGCCTGACCGTCGTCTAAATCACAACTGTCTTAAGGGAACTTCTAAATAAAAAATGTCTCTCACATACGTGAATCTATAAAAACCAATACAAAGTACCTAAAAATCACTTCTTCCAAATTCATCTCTGGATAAGCACTTTTTAAAATCTCTGTGAGAAATTAATCTGAGAGTGACCCCACAGAAACATAGAACAGGGGAGATGGCTCAGTAGAATAAGCACTTCCCTGGCAAGCGCAAGGGTCAAATGTTTTAACCATGGTAGGTAAAAGAGGGTCGTTGCATATTTGTAGTGGCTACATTTACACCAGATAGTACCAGCAATAGTTCTTTTCCTTCCTGAAAGAGTCTTTTCTACTATAATGTTTAAAAAAGTAGAGCAGTTTCACTGAGAGGTAGCATTTCAAAATACATTCAAATGTTACTTAACAGAAAGGAATAGACATCATTCTGAAGAAAAAAACTATTTCAGACCTACCCTTTTTTAGAAGTTGTTCAATCCTGGCTTTATGGACCTGCTTTCTTGTTCTTTCCTGTACTTTTTCGAAATATGGGAGGAAACACTCACCTTCACCAAAACAAGACATCTAAATCTCTAAAGATTTACCTTGCGGGGCCCATTAGTCTTGAGTTCCATGATGTTAATTGTATAGTTTATCCTCTTCCCATTCTGGTCAAACTTTATATTTCCTGAGAGACCTTCAACCTGAACCTGTTGAGGAGACAGGAAAAGGGCCGAGGTCACAAGTGAACCTCCACGAAACGTACGAACAGCAAAGATTACTCTGGCTGAGCTCAAGAAGAGAAAATCACCCTGCTATTTCATCCTTCACACATCTATGTACTGGCTGGACTCAGACTGCCTATATATTAAACATAAGGGGTGAAACAGCATGACTAACTTGGGGCGCACAATGACCAGTGGCCACGCTGCCCCCATAAGGCCCTTTTGCCGGACTGACCTGTTTGAGGGCTCGCTCTATCTCCACACCCTGTCCCCAGGGCACTGCGGGGTTGGCCAGGCAGTCCCCCGCGTTCCCTCTCCTGGAGATCTCGATTCTCTGCTTCCGTAGGTTGCGGAAGGCTTCAGTCATCACTTGAACGGCATCATACGTGAGGGCAGAAGTGTACTGAAAAGAACCACACACACTTCATAAGCCTGGAAAGCCACAAACAGTTCACACCCAGGCAGCCCACACTGCTGCGGCTTACCGTACACGGCAGGGACCATGCCCAGAGCTCAGAATTCACACAGGGAGGCACACCTGGAAACCCAAGAATCCAGGAGAGGAAGTAGGGAATGCTGGGACAATGAAATGCACCGTTTAAAATTCTGTGTTTTGAGACAAGGTCTCTATATGTAGTCCAGGCTGGCCTGGAACTCATGGTGCCCCCCAGGGCAGCCTCAAGCTCACTACGATCCTGCTGCTTCAGCCTCCCAAGTGCTGGGATTCAAGTTGTGCACCACATGTCCAGCGTGCAAGGTGCTCTTGTCTCTAAACATTTTTTCTATATTTATTTGCAGTACTGAGGACTGGCTCTGGCTGCTTGCACGTGCTAGGCAAATGCTCTATAGCTGAGCTACATTCCCAGCCACTTATTTTTAACCAGCCATATTTATTTTGAGACAGGATCACATAAATTGACCAGGCTGACCTTGAGCAAGCAAAGAAGGTTACATCCGTACATACACCATCACCATCACACTCTAAACTTGTTGTATTATATTACTACTCAGCTACTTAAGATGTGATCTTTCTTTTCATAATCATTATATAGATACTTGTATTTCCGAATTAATTTTTATTAAACGCACATTTATGACCAGTGATATGAAAATTATCACATCAACAAATAAGTATCCTCAGTGTACAGTAGAGAGCCACCCGCTGCGGGGACTGTGAAGGTGGCAGTCAGGAGCATCAGTGTCTACTTCACCGGGAGCTGTTCACCCACTCGAGTCCCCCCGGCTGACCCAGGCCATCACGTGAGGAACCCAGACTTCACTCTTTCACTGCTGCCCTTTTGCGTTGTCACAGGCTGCGGCAACAGGGGGCGCAGATCATGGTGTGCAGAGTGCAGGGGAGGGCAGGGAATTCCAGGAAGTGAGGCAGAGGCGACTGCCGCTCGCGCGCCAGGCACGGCCGGCCGGCGGCTGCGCAGGTGTTCCTGTGCGTGCGCAGACCGGCTGCCACCTGTCAAAGCTGTACTGCGCCGGCCATCAATAGTCACATACTGTCTGACCTTAAAGCTGGACTGAATGAGGAGACAATCTTGGCCATGAGTAGTTTTCAGTTGAAGACAAACTGGAAAAAATGTCACACCACCAAATTTAAGATGCTCCAAATTCTTAATTCCAAAATAGCAGCCAGGGCTCTCGAGTAATGCTCCACTGCGTGGTGGTAAGGCTGTTCTGCTCTCAGAAGGGGCTACCTCCTCTCTCTCTCTCTCTCTCTCTCTCTCTCTCTCTCT